AGAACACGGGCAACTGACTGAAACTGGAGATCGACTGTTTATCTCCAGTTGTAAGAGCGCGCACATCGACCGATTATGGCAACTGATCATCTCCCATGATCTACTCTCAGTTGACAAAAGCCGCCTTGCAACTAGTTGTCTCCAGTTACTCTGTCGATGTACGCTAGGCTTAAAGGGGCGTTCAGACCAAAAGCTTCAAAAAGCTTTTGACACGCGTTGTTTGACGCAGGGTCCGGTGTGTACGCCTTGCTCCTGACGCTCCTGACGCCGGTGGGAGGAGCTTCTCTGTTGCCGGTAGTCAAGACAACGGTGGATTTTCCAGAGAGCAGCGAGCCTTTATTTGTTATATAAAGCCAAACAACGTTGTCATGGGGTTTCTACAAAACGTGTTCTGGATTCACCACAGACTTCAGAGGCTGCAGTGTTTGCTGAGTTTCACCGTTTACTCCAGGAGTTGCGTACGGATGAGTTTCGCTTTCAGCTTTCTCCCCGCCTGGTCTAGCCTTTCTCTCGCCTCTCGCTCAGCTCTCCCTGCCTGGAGCTAGCCTCTCTCTTGCCTCTCCCTGCCTGGAGCTAGCCTCTCTCTTGCCTCTCCCTGCCTGGAGCTAGCCTCGCTCTCGCCTCTCTTGCCTCTCCCTGCCTGGAGCTAGCCTCGCTCTCGCCTCTCGGTCGCCTCTCGCCTGCCTGGAGCTCGCCCGCCTGGAGCTCGCTCTCGCTCTGAGCTTCTTCTTATATTAAATAAATTACGTTTACTTCACAGCATGTGTTACACACTTATTAAGAACATTACTTCTCATACAAATAATGTTGCTAATAACAATAATGACAATAAAACAGCAGCAGCAGCTACATAACTTCTTTCCATGACAGACTCGCTGCTGCTGCTGCTGCTCCTCGTCTCCTGATTGGTTGAAGCCCGGTATCAAGCTTCAAAAGTTCAGCTTTTGAGCATTACACGCGTCAAAAGCTTCAAGTGACGCGCTTAATGCGCGCGTATTTTGAGGCTTTTGACGCGCGCTAAGTGACGCTGGGCCTCTTGCCGTCACCTGACGCGCTTCACCATTCACTTTCAACTTTGACTTCAAAAACCTGACGTTTTTGAAGTCGAAGTTAAGTCCGGTGTGAACGTACTTTGATTGTATTGATGAAAACAACCTCCTGTAGGAACTATTTTCTTCTACTACCTCCTTTCAACATATTTTCTTAGACACAGCAGAAAAGTTGATGTCAAATATGTTATGTCATGCACACCGCTGTCATGTAGTGTCAATTACAACAATAATGAACGAGTGAATGCAGATGTGTGTTTCAGCTTGAGTGACCATGCCAGTCCATAGAGTTTTGTAATTTAGGAACCAATTTGATATTCACATTCCCCATGTGACTTCCTGCTTTCAAAAAAACTGTGAATCACACTCGAGCTCATCCTTAACCATCCAGACGTAGAGAAAACAGCTGTAACCATTGTTTGCAGTGAGACACTGAACGATCCTCTTTGACACAACATATTATGTTTTTACTTTGATCTAATTTACCTGTTGCTGTCAGATAACAGTTCTAGGTCCTCATCTAGTTCTTTAGCTTTTCTTCACAACTTCAATTTGTATCCATTGCGCCTGACAAGTCCTGAATGAGACCCTGCTAATCTCTAGTGGAGTGTCAGCTTCCTGCCTCTGTTCTCGTTCTGAAAAGAGTCTGTTTATCTGCCCAAAGCCCATTCCACTGCCATTTGCACTGTGGGGGTGCTTATCGACCAAGAGATAATTCAGAAAGCACCTCACACAGGTTTTTGTTCATTAAAAGTTTCCTTTGACCAGTCTTAAGAATTGCTTCTGTCTGCCAGGGCTCAGTCTTTGCGTGAGATTTGAGGTTACCGTATTATTTGTATTGTAAGTCAAAGTTTTTGTCATACTTTGGCCAGAAGTGCGACCTATACTCTGGAACGACTTGTGTGTTAAAAATGTCAATTTAATATTTTAAAATTTATTTTTCGTTTACCGTAAAATATCAGCTAATAGCCCGGGTTATTACTGTAAGTTGAGCGATGAAGCTAGTGGTAAGTGTATCAATTGACCATCCGCAGGTTTCAGTGTTCTATTTGTATTAGCAAATGTATTCTGCTCATAAAAACCCACAAAGTGCAACTTATATGTGTCTTTATCCTTCTTTATTGTGCATTTTCAACTGGTGCAATTCATTTTCCAGAGCAACTTAAAAATGATACAACGATACAATACAGTGCTCTTTTTTTAAAGGGACAGTAACCAAGATACGTGTCTGTTTGTTATTTGCAGTAATGTTTAACACAAAAACAACATGTTGTTCCATTAACTTTGGTGACATCAAATTACTTCAGTGATATGGCAGGTCTGTCATGCTGATGTAGACGCCACCTGTTTAAATGTTGACATTTAATAATGTGACTGAGCTAATTTGTAAACAGTAAAGCAACAAACACATGTCTACATTTATAAAGATGAAACCCCACACTTGGATAAAGGAGTTTTTCAGAAAGCTGAAGGTGTATAACCACAACAAATTGGAAACTTCAGATTTGCTGAAAAAGACCAGGGATTTCTTTAAATAAAGGTGTGGCAAAGAATGGATAGATTTATACTTTTCTTGTAGCACCGTGTTAAATGTATCTATAAAGCTGTCAAGCCTTTACTAACCTGAGCGGGCCTTTGCTAGCATTAATCAACCCACCAACATCAATCTAGTACGGGTACCCACAACTCCATTACACTGACCGCGACAAGGTTGTCTCCCTGCCAACGTTTGAACTGATATTAATCAAATGATACATAACGAAACCAAAACTATAAGATGCTATTTTTTTTTGTTTTATTGGGAAGGGAAAATAATAGAAGAGAAAACCCAAGCTATAGCCTTGTTACCCTTCTACTCTTTTTATGGTAACACAGTGATTATAATGGTTTGGGTCATTTACCAGAGAAAGATTGCAGATATTGATTTAGGAAGAAAACACTCAATTTTTTTTGTTGATAATCCGATATGGGAAATGCCACAGACCAGCATTGTAATGCCACTTGTTCAGGGTTTTTGGAAACAGATGTGAGCACAGATTTATGAATTGTATGTCACCTGAAGGCTGCCTTCAGGACCAACTAATAAACACAAATAAAGAGCGTTTTGCGTCTTGGGTTGATGTTAATAATCATATCAAGGTATAATCATGTTTTGTATTTGTGCTGCAGGTGACTTGCGGTTGATTACCAGAAAAGGGAACTGATGAAGTTGTGGAGTGCGTCTCTCTAGTTGAGTCTAGATAAAATACTTTCCAAATGTCTGTTTTTTTATTCAATATTTCTATGTTTATACAATAATAAAAAGCTTTCACTATTGCTGGATGATGATTACATGGACCAGAGAATTATTGGGTTCGAATGATATATTCAAAATTATATGGTTATTTTCCTGGTTATTGAGACATTTGCTTTAAAATTAGATATAACATGCTATAGTATCGCATTATCATCAATCTGCAAGGAGTGGCAACAATGATTCAAAAACATGGATGATGTTGCCCAGTAGAAATGAGTTTCAGGAATAAGAATACTTTGCAGGGTTTGTGAATATAGTTTTATTGTTTTAGCTATCAGACTGAAGCTAACATGTCTATTATTAAGACCCAGCGGTTACTCCACCTCTGCTGCTGTGGTCCATCCTGCTCCACCCTGAGGCTACTTCACCTCTGCTACTGTGACCTGTCTTACCCCACCCAGAGGCTACTCCACCTCTGCTGCTGTTGCCCGTCCTGCTCCACCCAGAGGCAACTCCATTAATATTGTTAGCGTTTTAGAATGATCAATTTTAATTTTTGCTGCTACTGGACACCTACATTTCTCCTACAGGGATCAATAAATTATCTATCTATCTATCAGGCTTTCTGATTCTGAGTTGCTGTTTTTTGTCTTCAAACACTAGAACCTACAGTCCGTGATAATTCGGAAGGAGCTTCGGAAGGAGCTTTTCTCCTCTGAAAGACCATTGCTACATGCGGTTTAATTACTTTTTTAAACCAAACGTATGTTCTCCTTCTTCAACAATCACACCGTACCCCTGCTACTATTAGGAGGCTGTTGCTAGAGCTTTATTTATACTGTACCATGGCATTCCTATCATTTGATCTATGTCATCTTTGGCCTTGCCAGTGTTGCTCTATGGATGACCAAGGCAATTATAATCCAGTCAATCAACAACATTTTCATGGAATCCATGGTGGAAGCTTTGAGGATCTATCTCATAAATATTGCATTTGTATTTCTTTCGCCATGTTAAAACTTCTGTGCACAAATATTATGGAGGATAAATTGTTTTGACATCGGCCTGTCATTATTTCTACATCTGACAACTCTTTCATCTAGATGGTCTTCCCTCTATGGAAAGGAATTAACAACACAAATGTAAATAAATGTATGCAGGGCTGCTTTTCTTCAGTAGGGACAACAAAGAGTGGCACAGTTGATGTAAAGATAATGGAGAAAAATACAGTTCACAGTAATTCATCATGAGTTCATGACTGATAGGTCTTAATGCCTTCATCGTGTCTAAGAGGAGTTTGTTTACTATGAAATGTTGTGATTCATTCACATTAACCATGATGACTTCATGAACATAAACGTATCATGGTCATTCCCACTCACCATGTTAACGTTATATGATTAAAATAATACAGGCTATCCGTGTTCAACCTGTTTTATTTTAACACTGTTCAGGGTTATTTCATTCAAGATAGTGTTTTTTTAATAATCAAAGCAAAACAGCATGACGTTGATTCACAAACAGCTCAGAGGTTTTATTGTCAAAAGTCATTCAAACAGTGATGTTCAAAATGAAACCAAGAATAAGCATTCTAGAAGTATATTTGTGATATTTTATGCTTAAATCACAGCTTAAGGTTATTTACAATATGTCGTCATATCAAAATACCTCTAATTATATAGTGATTAGTCGATGCAGTTCTTTGTTCCTTTGCTTCAGCATTGGGCCGTAGAATTGGCCTCAACCCACACTTCTATATATTGGGTCATGCTGGGACTGTGGGAGGAATGCACAGATTAGTATAAAGTATATACAATTACAAATCATGTCCGTCTCACCGGTTGTAAAGAGCGTTAATGCGGGCATTTTCATAGCTCTTCTTATTGATACTGTTGAACAGCAGTTTAGCTTGATCAGACTCGTCTGTCAGCGAGCCATTGTAGGCCCTGACGTAGACGTACCTCTGCTCAGTCTCCACAATCTCCACCTGAAACATGTGTTACATTTGAAGTTGAGACAGCTTTATGGGGCGTTCAGACTCTGACGCTTGAACACAGCTCTCACGCACATTGGACGCACATTCTCTAAATTTCAGACGCTAGGGGCATTCAGAACTGATGGCCTGGCCGGCAGTGGGAAAAAACGCAGCGCGGAACTTGGCGGGTGGGCTTTGATGCTAACAGAGTTAAGCTAGCGGCTTAAGGTTCTTCTCCAAGAATACAGCTGTGCAGCGTCTCTGTGTCTGAGACCTTCCAACAGCAGTATGTGTTTACGGAGGTGCGGATTAAGTTTAGCATAGGTCTAGTCCTGGTTTGGTCCTGGTTTCATGCTGGTTTAGTCCTGGTTTAGTTCCTGTTTTGGCTGTTTATAAGTATTTTCAGGCTGCTCACTGTGTCCCCGTGACCACTTTGTGGCTCTCTGATTGGTCGCAGCAGGTGCGACCGGCGGAAATGTTTAACAATGTTTAGGGTTGAACTGTGTCGATTTGTCGACTGCCGCGCCGCTATGCCACCTCTGCCTTGCAGTCTGTGCATTTCTACCATGCAGCCCGTGCGTACGTGCCGAGACGCACATGCAGTTCCCCACTCGAACGGACATCACCATTGACTTTGCATTGAAAGTCGCCGCAACGCATGATCCGGTCTGAATGCCGCATCTCAATGATAGAACACTTACAAAATGATATATGATTAAACAAGAAATAATAAAGCGGGGCTTGTATATGCTTCCGTAGCATTAATCTGAGTGCATTTCACAGTCTTTGAACATTTCCTTATGACTGCAGTGTGCTCACAACTCGGCGTAACGATTAAAGAGAGCCCAACTTTGTGTAATCTACTCTCAGTATAATTACAGCTGTTCTGTGATGGCTCAGCATGATGCAGACCCAGAAGTTTGCATGATGATTTTAGGGCTGGACTTTGGGCCAAAGTCCAACCCTAAAATCCAACTGAAAAGCTGTCAAATGAAAAATGCTGAAAAATTCTGTCCACAAATGCTTTTCGTTTAATCTGACAGAGCTTACGTTGTTTTGTAAAAAAGAAAAAAACAAGAGAAAAGAGGAACGGGCAAAACCTTTAGTAGAGAGCAAATACAAGAGTGCTCTAAGAGAGTTGTTTTGTTTGCTTGTTTTAACAAATTCACTATGTATAAAAGTACTATGGTTTGTTGTTCTTTACCTTAGCATCTGTTGGCTCAGGAGGGTTGTTCTGATGTTCGATTGGCAGCAGAAAGCAGAGGGTGTACTCAGGCATTTTGGGAATGAGATTAGCTAATTTGGGATTATTCACAAATTTGGAAAACCAAGAATTGGGAGGAGCATCAGCAGGCTTTTGAACGGTCCCAGGAGATGTGCTCATGCCCATGTTATTGTCTATGTGATAAAAAATACATATAAATTAACACTTTTTTAACAAAGAAGGTAAGCATTTTATTAATTTCGGTAAGTATAGCAACTGAACTCACCTTTAAGATAATTATACACACGCCAAAAGGCAGGTCCTACTCCAAGCATCCAATTTGGAGCGCTGAAGGAAGTGCAAACCCATTTCACAGATTCATAGCGGCGGACCTTGCAGTATAGAAAGGAGATGGCATGTTAGAATAACGGCTTATTAACCTCGCTTGCTCGGTCTGTACAGAGAAATATCAGACCGCAGCCTTTTTGTACAGACCGAGTCGTGGCAAGGTCTATGCAAAAAGACCAAGGTCTGATATTTCTCTGTACAGACCGAGCAAGCGAGGTTAATAAATGTTTTATTATATAACTACTTTTAATTTGTGCAAATATCGATCGGTTTCAACTATAGCAAAAACACATGCAACCAAACTGTCAAATGGTGACAGGAAGAACTTGCTTTGAGAACTTGCGATGATTGAGGTCGCCTGCTGGTAAATTCTCAATCTCTTCTGTGGCTTTACCAATGCATTTTAGATATTTGTGAAGTATGTTCATGTCCAACTTGGTTTTCCGTATCATGTTTTTAGCTTTCTGGTCTGTAACGAAGTTGTCAATCTCTTCTTGACTGTTAGGAGTTGTGTTTTCGTAGTTATTTGCTGTTTTTACTTCCTCTGGCTCTTCCAACTCCTCCGGATAATAGAATTCACTGGAGAATGCTCCCAGTCGTCGCTCATTATTTCTTTACAGAGGAAAGATATCAAATCTGATGAGCGCTGCAGACCAATTGTCATGGTAACGGTCCGAGATGGGAAAATACCAGACCCGCAAATCAGCCAATCAGAGCGCATGGACGATCCAAGTCATATAATAAATGCAGTTATTTGATGTATGTTTATTTAATCTATAGATAAGATAAGATAAGATAAACCTTTATTCGTCTCGCAGTGGAGAAATTTCAGTGTCATCGTTGCACACATTACAGCGGAGAATAGATCTGACCAGGACTATATTCAGGACCTGGTCTAGCCCTGACTGAGGCCACAAGACTTCAGCTCTGGGCCTCGATAAACTAGCTTTACTTGTACCTAAAATAAAGTTTGAGGTCCACTGTGTACATTTATTCATAAGTGTACTCACCTCATAAATGGTGTTATTACAAATTGTTGTATGTTGAAGACATTGTTCTGTGTCTTTACATAAGGAATTCTCATCCGTCAATCTGCGAATAATACAAAAATCCAACACAGTTTTTGCATTATATGATATGAAAGTATTTTGGCTGTTGATGATGAATACAGCAGGCTCTTACCCCACTTGAGCTTCAGCTGTGAGAACCAACAAAAAACTGACAAGTCCCGCAAGGCAGATCCTAAAACAGAAACATGTTGTTCAATATTAGACCAATTACTGTTCAGATTTAAGCATGAAAGTACTCACATCATTTTTGCAGTTTGGATTCCTCTCCTTCTACTGACTTTGAGGCAAGAACCTGGTTATTTATACCCTTAAAATGCCCCCCCCCCCAAACATGTTACTCAACCCAAACAGTCTAACTTATACAAGTGAATGTGCCGCACACTGTGAAATTATACACTGTTCTTTTGTTCTTTGTTTCTTACAGTTTGTCCTATCTTTGGGCAGAAGGTTTGTTGTTTATATTCTTTATATTGCATTTATCTTTTGTGGAGGATCAGGTTAACACAACATGAAAGAAAAACAGTCCTGGTTCTCATGTAACCTTATACATGTGCAAAATGTTCCTAATGTTGATTCTAAAGAGTCTGGCTGATAATCATACAGTATTGACTTTCACTGTTCTCTCTGGTGGGATGAAGGTGTGTGTGTGTGTGTGTGTGTGTGTGTGTGTGTGTGTGTGTTTGTGTGTGTGTGTGCGTGTGCATGCGTGCGTGCGTGTTTGTGGGGGTGTGTGCCTTTCATAATAAACTTCAAACATGTTTAGGCGACAAAAGAAATAGTCATAGGTAGTCAACAATAGTATGGCTAGATGTAAAAATAAATATTGTGTGTTTTTCATAATACACCTTCCTAATACTTGTTTAAAAGTAATAGTTGTGGGTGTAAAACTAGTTAGATGCAAAGTTATTGTGTGTGTGTTTGTGTGTGTGTGGGATAGGAATCAACCTACTGTAAATCTCACACTTATGTTTAAATCTCAGATCTGTTCAGTTTCACACAGAGATGATTTACAAATTGCCTAAGCTTCATTTTTTGCCAACCGTGTTTTTACGTAATGATCATTAAGATCCAGACTATATACAAATAGATTCATTAGACTCCTCACCAGTTTTATCTTTTTTTTTTCTTCAACGTCTTGGGATCAGAGAAAGCTTACACTCCACACATAAATTCCTGAATGCTTCTTCTTGTGAGATGGGAGATCTAACCACTGCACCATCCTGCCCCTCTCGTCTCATTTTGGAATTGATTACATTGTAGAAATTGAATAGAAAAGCCAATTTAATTGTATATCATTTGGCCATTTCCTTTGTGATAGACATGACTGCTACATACAAATCTGGATCTACATAAACAGCTAAAAGCAAATGTTGTAGCAAAGTTTGTTTACACCTTTATATTTTACTTTTCTTCTACTTTACTTTCAGAATGCAGCACCTCAACCCTGGACAGAGTACGTCACTTGAGGCAAACATAGGATTACTGTTAAAATAAGATCAAATTTCAAGACAGTATAACCAAATTAATGTCACAGGCTGCAAAGTTGAAATCAAATTAGCACCATAATAAATCAGTGCTGGCGACTGCGGAGAGGCAGCGATCAAAGTATAAGGTGGGAGAAAAAAAACATGGATTTTCTGCCAGGGTGGCTGCTCGCTGTCAGTCACCCGACTCCATCCGACAGTCACACGCATGGATGCACAGCTGCATTAACTATACTTGTACGTAACAAAGACATACATACACTTTTGTACGTGTATCGATCAGGCAAAAATAAGAAATCATCGACTGTGGCTGAGCTGAGCGCGTGGAGCAACTGAAGGGTGATCAATCTTGATGATTCTTTTGCTACATAAGAGAAAAACATAGGTATAGGTGCTTTGAATTGCACATTATAGCTCACATATAGCCAGTACCACAGCAGTCGGTAATTAGTCAGGCTGACAGAACATCCCATGGCAAGTGAGGACAACTATAGCTGAATTAGACCAGGGATGCACACTGCACGGTTGCAGACTTCCACTGCCACAAGGGAGGGTCTGTACTCAGTATGAAGGCCTAATTAAGACACAGGAATAATTGGGAATTGGAAAAAGAGGGAGGAGGATGGTCATTATGCATGTGAGTTTGTGCGTGCGTGTGTGTGTGCATTTGAGTGTGTGTGTGCGCTGATTTCAAAGGAGTATTTGATTACCATAGCAACCAACAGCTTATGAAAAGCTTCAAGAAATCTATTGGAATATTATGAAGATAAGACAAGGTTAGATACTCGGAATTGAGGTACACATTCTTTACACAATTGTACGCAGTTGTGTGCATGTTGGTTTTCTGAAAGTTGATATTCTACAGTGACTTAATGTCAAATTTAAGTCATGCTTTTTTCAGGTTTTTGTTGTAATCATGATCTGAAAAAAGCTGAAAAAATGAGAGAGAAAACCATACATCAGCACATGCACAAAGGTTCACGCGAAAGATAGTTGCCATATTTAGCAGCATCGAGGAAGCCTAGAGGACATGGTGGGGAGGAGGGGCAGGACTGGATGAAAAATGAGGCTTTGTTGCAGACTTAGATGGCACCACACTGCCCCAACACAGCAGCAGAGCCAGGGGGATACACACAGAGCATTTTGGGTAATGCGGTCCGACGTGCCACAGCTCACTGGCCCCCTGACTGGCTGATCTGATTGGACCGACACACTCAGGAGGGACGGGTCATGACAGAAGTATTCGATTGGCTGAGAGGCTCCCGGGTGCCGCATGGGAGAGGCTATAAAAGTGGGCTCATCCTCACTTAAGGTCAAACAACAACTGAAGGCATCCGATTTTCCCGGTGAAATGATACAGTCAAATACAAATAATTTTCAAAAATAAAACGTTTATATCTTTTTGAGCAGATCAAGTACACTTCTATATCTTCACGCCTGGAATACTGCACTGCACTTTGCCTCGGACATCTCCTTAAACACTCTTCCCTTCTGCAGTTGCACCAATTCTTGCGTAGTTGCACTGGCTTCCCGTTCATTTTAGAGTGGATTTTATGATGGCATTCTTTGTTTATTTGCTTTGAATGGACTGGCTCCACAGCACGTCGCAGACCTCATTAAAATGTATCACACTTCCCGTGCGCTGAGGTCAGAAAAAAATCTTGAACTTTTAAACATTTAAACAACTTTTTGTTCTTGTGCATTGTTTCTTGTATCCTTAAATAAATTGGCCTCTTCCCCATTTATTTCCTTAAAAATGTCATGGTTTAGGTGTATTTCCTGTTTTGTTTTATATTTTGTCGTCCCTGTATCTTCTCAAGTTACTCCTGTTGTCTGAATACCTGTCCTGCCCTCACATGTATCCCTCCCTCATGTGTATATTGTTCCTTCATAATCATTTCCAAGTCTGTTTTCATTCTTGTCATTGGTCCCTTTTTGTGTTTGCTCTGGATTTTGTTTTGCCCGCAAAAATATGTCTTTTTTGGTTTTAACTTTGCCACCGTGACACACAAAAAATATTATGCTTTTCTGGCTAAGACCAAACTAAATATCACAAATGAATCTTTAGTCTGGGAAATTACCGTTCATTTTCTCATAGGAGAGTTAGGGTTTGCGAGTGTCCATAGCCATTTACCGGGAGCTGCACATCTGCATGTATGTACTGTATATAGTGTATCGTATCAACCCAATAACGTATGATGCACAACAGAAATTTGAAGCGATGTGTTTGTGTCGATCTGTGAATGCAGTTCTTGATGGATTGATCTAATAACAACTATGTGCTTTTAAAGAGGAAGCAATGTAAAAACAGGTTTTACAGAAGACAGGAGAAGACAATGCAGATGCTCTGATTTCAAGACTTGTGACTAAAGTAGTGGGTTGGATCTATTGTCCTGTGGTTGCAATGTCATGTGTCATGCATTAGTGAAGATATTATTCACCATGAAGATGAGTCAACTATAATTAGACTTTTGGTTGAGTGCACGCCTGATTTTGTTTCACTTGAGTAGCGCGAGTCTGGGGTTGTGGGTTTTGGCATGCCATGGCTGCTTGTTCATGGAAAAGCTGCCTCAGCTCATATACTTCACACATGTGGAAGGGACTTTCATGGATGAGGTGCCTAATGAAGGCTCTGTCTTTTGTGATTAACATTTCCGCAGTCCTGGTAATTGTCCATTGGTTCTATTATCACTCAGGAGCCCACCTATTGTTCAGGTGGCGTTTGCCTGCTAAGTGGGGGTTTATGCCTTCAACGTTGTGAATTAATGCGCGTCAATTATGCAGGTGGTGCCAATTACATATTTATGTATTCTAATAATTACATTTTTATATACAGCAGACGTCATGACATTTCAGGAAAGTTAATGAAAATGAATAAATTAAAAGCAGCGAATAAGTGTTTTGTCTTGCGTCAGTGACATCAAAATGATTCTCTCTCAAAAATACAGTGGAGTGTAAACCATACACTGCCTGTGGTTAAACGTCTGACTCTGTATACATTAGTACCTCTCCCAATATGGCGGCATTACCAGATGCCACCCGTCCTGCTCATCTGGAGTAATCCTGAAGTTTTTCTGATGAAAAAATAATCACAATGTTATCTTTTTAAATTTTGTAATAATAGACAACATTTTTATAAATCTAGCAATGCCTCTCTCACACTATATTTTCGTACACTCTAGTGACATCTAAATCATGAGTCAGAGATTGACATCAAAAGAAGATTGAACACAGACTCAAAAACATTTTCAGGAAAATGATTTAATATTCTGTTCAATCATTTGATTAGATGTAAGACTCACCATTGTGCCGCCTTGAGACAAATTACTCAAACAGAATGTACTGGTCTTGTTTCTAGAGATACAGTATATATGTTTCAGTCACCCACCAGTGCACATGATGACATCATCACTCACCCTATGTCCTGGGCTCGTGAACACGCCATTGTGCCTCATCATCACTCATCACATTTAAAAACACATCACACACATACACACCGGTCTAGGGTGACAAATTGAATAACTTTTAAAAATAAAAATGAAGTATTTCCATAAGGCCATTTTTTGCTTTTGAATCTTTCATTTTTTGCACAATTTCCAAGCACCGGCATCAGCTGCTAACCAGCTACAAAACAGGATTTGTAGTGAGGTAGATCACACCCAATCATTGGTGTACCCATTATATATTACAAACGTCTCCCTGAATACCGGTAAGATTGCATAATGAACCATTCCACAGATTGATATTACTCTTTCCACTGTGTATATGTGCTGTGGCTATAATGCATGGGCGCCTCTTTGGACTTTTCACAATCTCAGCGGCAGCTCTAACTCAATATGTTAGAACCTCATGGCCTAGCTTGTTCTGACCAAAAGTGTAGTTATCGTCAAGTCACTTTTTTGTCATAGTATATCATCACTTATAACTCAAAAAATGTCAAAAAGTTTCAAAGATTTTCCCCTGAAATTATGATATTTGTATCAGCAACAAATAACTTAGGCTTTTGGATACTTCATCATACACATCATTCATTTAGGCCTATACAACAGTGTTATTATGACCTTGATCAATCAACTTCTTATCTCGATCTTCACTCCCACTTTGCCCTGGAGCTCTTCTGTTGTTCTACATAAATACTACTTTAAAATAATTGATGATGATAATTATGATCTGAGGAACTCCCACCACTGCACTATAGCTTTAAAGGCCTCTTGTCTGCACCGCTGTGAAGTGAAGTCCCTGTGACTCCCTGCAAGAGGTAATTTTGCTACTTCACTTGAATCATGAATCATTTTTTCTACCCTGAAAATCATATGAAAATAATACTCATTGAGTAGGAGAAAGAGTGATCAGACAGAGAGCATTTTCAGCATTTACAAGTGAATGATTTGGCTTTATAAACTGGACAAATGTAGCGATGTTTTTACCTTAACATGTTTTGACGGCGGTGTTAATACCATCAAATAATGTACATGTAAAAACATTGCTATTGCAAGTAATCTAAGAAGTCTAGATGAATCTTCCTCAAATATGTACATTTGGATATTGTTTAAAAATGAATTTATGTCTATAATTAAACTATAATGTGATTCCAATAAATGACAAAGACTCATATACACACAAAGTGCTGAGGATGTTATATTTAAGAAATTTGAATTAATCAAAATATTCAAATTTTCTGTTTTATTTTTGGTTTTTGCAAGCTGTGACTTAAAATCAAGATCCAAGATCTTTGCATATCTCAGTTAGTGTGTAATATATTTTTCATATATCACATTGCGTTTTACCTTTATGTCCATGCAGTAGATGTATTCTCTTTCAGGACTTGTTAATCAGCCAAATCAAATCAACTACATACGGTTTCTGTGCACTCTTACATTTTTGTTGCATAATTTAGGTCATATTTAAATCACTGGAAAAAAAATATCATGTGAAGATTCGTGTCAACCTGCATTTATATTTTGTGAAATCTGAGCCATCCTCACTGTTCTCAGCTAGAGCACTAAGTAATGGTGAAACCAAGGGCTTTTCTGTGCATTTCTTTTATTAGCACTAAAGACCAAAGTCCTTCTCTCACAGTTGTCGTTAGTCTGTGAGAGAAGGACTTTGGGATGGGTGCAGTTGACAGATGACAATCTCGTTTCCATTCAGGCATGGTTCCCCGCTCTCTGGGGGCTAAGCATGCAATAGCTATGAGTGTCACATTAAATCCCAGACAGAGAGAAGGGTATGGCAGAGTGACAGAGAAACCATTCACCAGTGCCATCATGCCTGTGCGGGTGACGCCCACAGATAGAAGCTTGCAGCTGCAACGCACCTATGTCCAGACCCACCATCTCTACGTGGCCATGATCTCCACAGTGTCCTCAGGCTGTCTTCAGCGTGACACTTGTGATTTGTTGTGCTAGTTTAGAGTGACGTTGTTGGTGACGCCAATGAAAAAGGTGTATTTGGTGGTTTGAATGTGGATCAATAGTGATGGAACTTTCTGGCCGATGTGATCATGATAGAGAGAGAGCACCTTTCAACACAGCAATAAATATTTACATACATGTTTCCAAAGATAATAATTGTACATTTGTGTTTTGAATAATATGTATTTGCCTACTTAATATCATGTTAACAATAGCTTACTGAAAATGTAAAATTCAAGTTTATAATTTGTGCTTTAGGGTGTAATTATCCTTAATCAAATTCACCAATACTAGTGTTAGAAAGAACAGAAAGAATTTGAACCCAGGCTCTGACGTGCAACTCTCTGTTTGATGATGATTAAATCCAACATCCATCAGAGGAAGCTGAAGACGTTCTGTAATTATTCAGCCGGCACACATGAAAGACACTTTATTTTGCCCTCCCTTTACTGCCTGAGATCTCTAATAGGCCTTGCAAAAGCAGAGGGGATAAATAGCATGACATCAGTGATCTGGCACTCATATACGCACAACAAAATGGCAAAGCTGTTGTCAACTCGTGCCCACGTGGACAATGCCAGCCTTTGGAAATGTGGAGGAAAGCCTCACATGGCAGTTGAAGACAATTACCCCCTGAACAATGTCTGCTCTCACATTTAGCTGATGAGATTGTGGTTAGGTGCAAAGTGAAGTGGAAGAAAAAAATCCCAGTTCCAATTACCGCGACCCTGAAGAGATTTAGAAGTTGTCTCGATAGCACGCAAAGGGTCGTTAGAATAGAACGGTGGCAGAAAAGGGGAAAATGAATTATTGATTGTAATTACACAGGCTTGTGGTTCTATGCCGCTTGTGTGACTGCCCTTTTCTGGTTCTGTCATGGAGAATGCAGTTCATGCGAATGGGTCTAATACCCAAATGCACTGAAATGTCCACACTGGTTAGTATCTCAGCGCTGTCATCTCTGGAAGTTCAGTTTTTGCCGTGTTGGAAAAAATGCATTGTGAAATTTGCTTTGGTGGCAGAGATTAAACTAGAGGTTATTTGTTTTTAGATTACAATTTGTATGTATTCCGATAAAGAAGGAATAGTCAATTTCTCCCATGTTAGATATCATGTATCTTCTGCCTGGTTTAGATTCTTGGAGTCAGGCCAAATTCGGGCTCTGTCATCGGGTTCAGGCTGAGCTCTGCACACATGTTCCTGAGCAGCCTCATACACGCTCACGCTGTGCAGTGTGACCGCTGACTCACACTGGCTGCGACTTTGGTACAGCGATGAACACTGCAGCTCCCTACAATGAAAAGTCACAAGGGGTCTCAAAAAATGCACCTTGTAGTGCAGCGGGGCCACTGGAGGGCCGCTAAGCTTTTGTTTCTTTTACGCTGTGAGCTATTTTTATCTACAACCTATTTAATTACTGCCACAACACGTGCTCTCACAGCCACAGAGGCTTGTCTGGACACAAACAATCTACAGCACCGGTTTAAAGACCTCATGCAGGGTGTGTATTTATTAGAAATAACGTTTTTATTCCATTTTATATTGGAAAAGAGCTACTTAAGGTTTCAAAATCCAATGTTTTTTTTTCCAATCAGCCCGAATCCAGAAAACACCATAGCAATGAAAGGAACGTAAAAACTAAAACAGCACGTCTTGCTTGGTGATGTCACAGCGGGAACATGTGTCAATCATAAGTAGATCTCCTTCATGGTTAAAGGAGAAGAAAAGAGGAGGCTTTGTAGAGTGAGCCAGGCGTCAGATCCTGAGCAGAGAAACTGCCCCACCATTGTTTCATTTCAAGGATAAGGTTACATATTAGGTTACTATGTATAATACTATGATATCATTATTTACACAAACAAAGAATATATTTTGTAGTGAATGAGTAAGTAAAGAGATGAGTAGAATGAGGAACACCCCCATCTAGTGGAAGAACAATACATCAGGAGAGATTTAGAAATACATTCTACCCATATTTTTTGATTTCCTGCAAAATTCTGACTCTGAGGTCCTCTCACCAGTCTGACTCTGAGGTCATCTCACCAGTCTGACTCTGAGGTCATCTCACCAGTCTGACTCTGAGGTCATCTCACCAGTCTGACTCTGAGGTCATCTCACCAGTCTGACTCTGAGGTCATCTCACCAGTCTGACTCTGAGGTCCTCTCACCAGTCTGACTCTGAGGTCATCTCACCAGTCTGACTCTGAGGTCCTCTCACCAGTCTGACTCTGAGGTCATCTCACCAGTCTGACTCTGAGGTCATCTCACCAGTCTGACCCTGAGGTCATCTCACCAGTCTGACTCTGAGGTCCTCTCACCAGTCTGACTCTGAGGTCATCTCACCAGTCTGACTCTGAGGTCATCTCACCAGTCTGACCCTGAGGTCCTCTCACCAGTCTGACCCTGAGGTCATCTCACCAGTCTGACTCTGAGGTCATCTCACCAGTCTGACTCTGAGGTCATCTCACCAGTCTGACTCTGAGGTCATCTCACCAGTCTGACTCTGAGGTCATCTCACCAGTCTGACCCTGAGGTCATCTCACCAGTCTGACTCTGAGGTCATCTCACCAGTCTGACTCTGAGGTCATCTCACCAGTCTGACCCTGAGGTCCTCTCACCAGTCTGACCCTGAGGTCATCTCACCAGTCTGACTCTGAGGTCATCTCACCAGTCTGACTCTGAGGTCATCTCACCAGTCTGACTCTGAGGTCATCTCACCAGTCTGACTCTGAGGTCATCTCACCAGTCTGACTCTGAGGTCATCTCACCAGTCTGACTCTGAGGTCATCTCACCAGTCTGACCCTGAGGTCCTCTCACCAGTCTGACCCTGAGGTCATCTCACCAGTCTGACTCTGAGGTCATCTCACCAGTCTGACTCTGAGGTCATCTCACCAGTCTGACTCTGAGGTCATCTCACCAGTCTGACTCTGAGGTCATCTCACCAGTCTGACTCTGAGGTCATCTCACCAGTCTGACTCTGAGGTCATCTCACCAGTCTGAACCTGAGGTCCTCTCACCAGTCTGACCCTGAGGTCATCTCACCAGTCTGACTCTGAGGTCCTCTCACCAGTCTGACTCTGAGGTCATCTCACCAGTCTGACTCTGAGGTCATCTCACCAGTCTGACTCTGAGGTCATCTCACCAGTCTGACTCTGAGGTCATCTCACCAGTCTGACTCTGAGGTCATCTCACCAGTCTGACCCTGAGGTCATCTCACCAGTCTGACTCTGAGGTCATCTCACCAGTCTGACTCTGAGGTCATCTCACCAGTCTGACCCTGAGGTCCTCTCACCAGTCTGACCCTGAGGTCATCTCACCAGTCTGACTCTGAGGTCATCTCACCAGTCTGACTCTGAGGTCATCTCACCAGTCTGACTCTGAGGTCATCTCACCAGTCTGACTCTGAGGTCATCTCACCAGTCTGACTCTGAGGTCATCTCACCAGTCTGACTCTGAGGTCATCTCACCAGTCTGACTCTGAGGTCATCTCACCAGTCGCTGTGATCGCTAACGGCTTTAGTCTTTTTGAAGCTATCATCAGGTTGCTATTATAGGTGTAATATTATTAATGATATGTTGAGCATGATTAGTTACACATAAATAATTAAATCATGTTATGAGTTAATGCTCAAGTGTATTTTTCCCATTTCTGGACTCTGCTACTAGATATAGCATAAAGTGTATTTTATTGGGGCTTGTTATAAAGGATTGGGAGTGAAGAGAAGATGCTTCCAAACAAACTTCCTTACATGCTGTGAAACATTCTCTCTTTCAGATAAAACTAGATCTCTCTTCCTTCAAGGAATGATTATCCTCTTCATGATGCAAAACTTTTCTTCCTTATTACAAAACTGCTTTTTGAAAAAAACTGCAAAAATGTTGAGAGTGTGAGCAGTTCAGTCTGGCACATGAACACACACGTGCAGAGAGAGGGCTGAGGCTGTGATGGAAGCGGGACACACTGTTGTGAATACTAATGAGGTGCAGCGCTCATCCTCCAATGAGGACACTCAGGTTGGGTCACTCTCACAACAGTGTGGCCCTGTTTAAACAAAGAGCACATGTAATTAACCTTAATTAAGTCTTCAACAACCTACACATACACTTTTGTTGTGGAGTAAGTTCAGGTTATTTTAGTTGTGAAGACTTTCACACTTCTCTTGAGTTTTACTTTCTTTCTGCCTTTAGTGGTCAACATTGAATTTATAATGCTATGGCCTACTTATATCTCTTTGTGAGAGAGGGCTGTTGTCGCAAAAGTGTAAAGAGAAAGCATGAATGCTTGGTTCTTACATGCGTCATTGTGGACTTATCCATTACTCTCGTATCCATTAGTCTTGTTAGATTATAATTGATTTAAATATATAATTTATTTCACTTTGTCCATACCCCTACAACTATTATTTCTTGTACCAATAAACAATATTTTATATTTACTTATTATAATGCTAAAGTCAGAAATTCTTTACTTAATTCTTGCTTCTTCATTATGCTAAAGTTGGAGATTTTAGATGTGCTTGTCTATTATGCTATAGCTATAGTTATTTTATTTGAGTAAATAGTTATTGCTCAGTTATATTGTGTTGTGTGCGCCTCATTCCTACTGGTCCGTAATCTGTGATGCAACACTGACCTTTTCCCACTGAGCGACTAATAAAGGATATTGATTCTTAATCAATAAAATCCAAATCCAACTTTATCAAGTAAATCCAACCCAATATTTATTTGAATGTGTCGCATCTGCAAAGAGTATTGTTAAGGATGATTTTAAACTAAAGTCAAACCTGGACAAAATCGCTCACACAAACAGACATACTTCAGCAGATCATGTCTTCACGGAGGCAGAGCACAAAGCTCGGGCTCTTTGATGGCAGATCCAAACTCAGACCAGATTGTAACTTGTTTATGGTCGACAAGACACACCTTCTTCATTTGCATAAAGGAATGGAGTCTGTGGATTCAATCAGACCTGAAAAGTAAAATGGGGGCATTTGCGGCATTTAGACAATATTAAGAGAGTGGGTACAGGTATGGTAGGGGCAGAAAGAAGTGCATGTGATATGTTATGTAGTATCGCTACTTCATAATGTGTATCATAATGAGGAAATCCTGTTACTATGTTATCGAGATAAGTTAAGCTGCTGTATCATTAAATATTATTAGTTCGACAGATATATGATAAACTTTATGTGCATACCCACTTGCACAATGGGGCTCTCTGGTTTAGTAATGTTCCATCCATCCATTTTCTTCTCTTTAATCCATTTCTGGGTCAGGGGGGTGGCAGTCAGAGATGCCACCCAAGTCTCATAGCACCAGCCCCTCACTGACCCTCTGCAGGTGGTGAGTCCACAGGAGGACGGCTGCTCTCTGAGTGAGAGCATAGCCTTGATCTTTCAGTGGGGGCTTTGGGCAAAGTGGGGTTAAGTGTCTTGCCCAAGGACACAACGACAGCAGTCATCAGTGGGAGTCGGTGGAGAAGGTGTGGAGGTGGGAATTGAACCCACGACCTTCAGGCCTGAAGGCCAGTGCTCTACCAACTGAGCTACTGTCGCCCCAGTTTAGTTTAGTTTGTTTAGTAATTTAAGTTTACTAATGTTTAGTTAGTTAGTTAGTTTAGTAATGTTGTAGATTTTAAATACAGCACGGAACACAGTCATGTTTTCCTTCATTTGCCAACATTTAGCAAATTGTGAAATTCTATATTTAATCTAGAAATGTTATATCAAAGTGATTTTATATTATGTGTCAGTGGGGTCAATGAGTTTAGAGCAAAACAATGGTCAGCCTTGGAGTGTTCTCCCTTATCTCCCTGGACAGGAGCTGAGACCGGTCTAGACCAGACCCAGATTAGACCCATACCAGGCTCTCTGCTCTTACCATTTATGGAGGAAAAATTACTTCATCTGAGGCACTTCCTCCTCTTCTACACATTTTCATAAAACTGTTTTGTACCACACTTTTTAGTCAGTCTGAGCCAGGGACAGAGAGAGGACTTCACAGAGTTGCTGGGAGCCTCTCATTACATTTTCAGGCCTGGAGAGATCGTTATAGCTCAGCTCATAGGGTTAGATAGGGAAATACAGGAGCTCAGAGAGTTTTGTATCAGTATTTAATTGTAAAGAGTATTAAATATGAATATCTTGGTCTTCTTTTCTGATCAAATTCTGAATAACGTCCACAAAAGACACTGTGGCCATAGATGCATGCATGGTAGAATTCTGTTTGATTTACGCTGTTGAATGTGGGAAACTACCCTTTGAAATGGAGAAGGTCAAAACCATAAACACATTTACTGAATACGCAGCACAAAGTTGTACTCAATGCATTTTTTCTTTCGATAAATGGTGACATGTAGTTTGCCACATGTAGTCTTCTAATGGTGGTTACAGAAAAAAAAACAGTGGGATTCCCAAATCAGATTCCAACCATCTGATTTGCCAATATGCTTATATACACATATACTGCTTTCACAGGCTCCCCATCAGTCACTACCTACTGCCTATTTTCAGCCTCTTTCTGTGTCTTTCTCAATCTTTCTATCTATCTCTCTCCCCCTTCCCCTGCTCACCCCCAAAATTCAATCTTGTATTTGCAAGTGATGGAGAGCAGCTCTGCGGTTTTATGCCAGGCGCAGTAGAATATATTAACCTACACTGAAATAAATAAATAAGGTGTGGATCTATCTGTCCTAGTTTCTGCACTGAATGAGCATGATTTGGTTGCATGCTTGCGGTTTTATTTACCTCCGTCTTTTCTCATCCTACACAACTACAGTATATGCAGCCCTCACACTTTGCAGTTTAGATTATTGATCGCTTGAGGAGGAAGGTGCTGTGGGAGTTGCAAGGCAGAGGCAGTTCTATCTAAGGAAAAACACAGCATGCTATCTAATCCTGGCGTCTGTGGTTGAGCATTAAGCTGTACAAATGTATAGAGGAGTTTTCTGCAATGTGAAGTTAACTGAACTAACAAAGGATTTCGCCTTCATGTGTAATCATACTGTACACATATTCCCAATAGTGCAAACCGTGAAGTACAGTAATGGCTCAACTTTTGGGCGGCACGGTGGCACAGTGGTTACAGTTTGTGATTACAGCGTGTGACAACAAGATCGTGGGTTCAATTTTGCTTTCAAACTGGGTCTTTCTGTATTGAGATTTCATTTACTTAGTTTAGGTTAGGTTTAAGTTTCAAGTAACACGTTTTTTGTTGTTGTTTTTTTTTAAATCATTCAAACCTCTTTAATTCAACTTACAATGTGAAACTAATATGTAAATGATACAGGCAAATGTATCAATTCGTTATTTGTTATAATGTTGATAATTGCCTCACAGCTTTAAACAAAAAAACCCACAAATATTACATACCCTGAAAATTAGAATATTTTGATAATAGACCGTGAGCCATGATCATCAAATTGATGGTTTAGGCATAAGTCACTGTGCATTTACTACATCTAGATAATATCTCTGTTTCCCAATTTAAATGAAATTACAATATGAACGAGATTCTAATTTTTGAGTTTCATCTGTATATTAAAAATTCTTTCCCAGAGCCGTCATTTTGACTGTTCCCATTCAAACCAATGAGAAATCCATAGTTTTTCACCAGATACATTAAAAGTCCTGTATATGGCGACACGGTAGCACTCTCGCCTCTCAGCAAGAAGGTTCTGGGTTCAAATCCCGGTCGGAACAGGGCTTTTCTGAGTGGAGTTTGCATGTTCTCCCCGTGTCTGCGTAGGTTTCCTCTGGCTACTCCGGTTTCCCCTACCACTAAAAACATGTGCAATAGTTCAGGGTGAATGAGTGTGTGTTTGTGAGTGCGAATGTGGGACAACAGATGCAAATTAGCTCAACGCTACAATCTGGAGTGATGTGTTCATTAACATGTACTGTTCCAACCAAATAAACAACAATAAAAAGGTTTGCCGCATTTACTCACTTGTACTCAAACTGGTGACTAAACCCTGAAATCTGTGATGAAAAAGTTCAATGTTTTTTCAACTCTTAATGGGGGGCAGAGGATGTCAATTTGGTGGAAGATATAATTACAAGCCATCAAGATAAACTTTCAAGACAATCTGGACATTGTGTGGAGAGGTGACTGACCCCACTGCGAGCCGCCTGGGACAGAACTCGGCTTCAGCCTCAGCCTCCACGACGATAGCAAAGGACCAGTGCATGAACAGATGGACTGTACAACATTCATTTAAGTCTTCCGGAGTAAAGACAGGATGGATTTTGTGTTCAAATAATTGCTCTATTTAGTTTTACAACGAAACATGTTTTTTTATATTAACTATATTACTATGTTTCACATTTTATTTAGTTAACAAAAATATGTAGCAAATATATTTTCTTTGTCACATTACCTAAATTAAA